CTTTGTAGATTTCCTCCTTCATATTCTGGATGTTTTTTCTTGTTTCATCATGTTCTCTAAATGAGTGTTCCTTTATTTCTTCAAGTTTTCCTAATTGCTTGAAATTCTTTTTCAGACATTTCAAGGATTCCCTGGTCCATGGAGTCTGACTTTGGGGCATTACTGTATCCTTTTGGTGGTGTCATTTCTTCTCGATTGTTTGTGCTTCTAGTGTTTTTTTCACTGATGTTTGGTCATTTGCTAGTGGGTTTGCTTCTTCTATTACACTGAGGTTGGCTGTGGAGTGGCCTTGGTTGCCACCGTGGGGGGTGAATTGTCTTTGCTTGACAGTAGGTGTGGTGGTGGTTATGTTAAACAACCTTGGTTCCCATTCTAGTCTCTTTGGTCGGAGAATGAGCCCCTAGTGTGTGGAGTTCTGCTGGGCCAAACTCGGTGGGTTGGAACTGTAGCCTGGTGCTCCCCCCTAAGTCTAAGGCGGGATGAGGGGCTGCATGGAGCTGTGTGGTTCCACTGGCTAGTGTTGCTGCCAGCCACCCCTGGTGGGCTCACCTGCATGGTGCCAGTTCATGGTGTGGGGGTGGGGCATGTAGCTCCCAATCTGCCTGGGTCCATAGTGGAGAGGGGTGAGGGAGCCACGTGGAGCTGCGGTTCTGCTGGCTGGTACTGGCATGCCCACCTGCATGATGCTGGTTCAGGGCACAGGGGCGGGGCCTCTATAGATTTTTCGAATTTGATATTATAGACTAGATATTATAATTGATAGCTAGATTATCAGGCTAACTCTCAAAAGGCTGTTTTTATGTCATTTTATACCTTAAGTTTTTCAATATTGTCACTTCAGTGATACATAATTGCCATTGAAACAATGAACAATGGGAATATGTATCTTAAGTTTCAACTTGGGACAGAAGGAGTAGATTTGTTCTTAACATTGCCATGGAGATGACTGCGTTGGCCAGAGATAGGTAGAAGGAATGCTTTGAGACAGTACCTTTATTATTTTAACTTTCTACATCTGAATGAGGCCAGGACAAACTTAATTTGCTTTCTACAGGTGTTCCAAATGGATATCAAGGAGCATTGTGAAAAAAGTGGACAGAGTAATTCTTAAATTCATACTCCTCTACTATCCACTTGTTGTGTAGCTTATTTTTTAATTGCATTAGTTTTATTTGTGTTTGTGTTTCACAGTTTTATTTTGTGTCAAAATTTTGGAAGGTAGAATAGAGAGTATGACCTAGTTATGAAAAGGACAAACACTTAGAGAAATATAGAGTTCAAATGGAGATTTTTTTTTAAAATGAAAATAAGGTTTAAATTAAACAAATGTAGGAACTAAGAACTCATCCAATATTCATAAATGTTGAACATGGTCATTAGTGATCAAGCTTCTCCTTTCCAGGACCCAGTCTCATCTCCTATTGTGTTTCCTGCTTTTCCTCTTTTGATCCTTGGTTCAAAGAACTCTGTAATCCCTCTAGAAACATAATTATGTGATTCTTAATCTTTTGGGTTTTCTGGTAATAGTTTAAAAGAGCACTTCGTAGCTAGCTGTGTCCTTGTCCTGTTTGTTTTCAAACTTGCCAGCCTGTTTTTCTTGTAATTGAAGTAACCCGTACTTTCCATCATCCTGACATTTTTATACCAGGTTTTCTAAAGCATCAGCTGCATTAATTAGGGTGGTCTCAGTTCTAAGACAGTAGACTATAGGTTACTGTGTGCAAGAGGATTGCCAACTTCCAGTTAGGGGATGAGAGGACTTTCACTGCCTTGCATCCTGCCTCTGCTAAATAAGTTTTACATTTTAGGTTCTGTCACATGTATCACCTTATTTCCTGGCATCAATTTTTATGTTAATTTGCTTTATAACATGTAAGCAACAGAAATCCAAATAAAACAAGAATTTATGGCTCATATAACTGGAAAATCTTTTTCCATCTCTGAATTCTACTTTTTTGTGTTGACAGACTATCTCTGTGTGGTAACAAAAACTGGCCAGGTAGCTCTAGGTGTACCGTAAGACCAACATACAAGGCAGCATAATGAAATATAAAGATATTCAGGTAAAAAGACATTTCAATTTGGCAAGCAAATTTCTTTGGGAAAAGATAAATACCTTTTGTATTATTATTGATTCCCAAGCTGAATTGAGTCCTGCTGGGGATGTTGGTATCGGTGTGTGGGGAGTGGCTGGAATAGAGGCCAAAGAGACTCAGAGAAAAGAGCACTACAGTTGCTGATATAAAACCTCCATTCATGATATAGGGTAAAAATTAAAAAAAAATATTTTTGAAAAATGAGAAAATGGTCTTTATACTTGGGACATTAGACAGAAAAAGAGCTTCCATCTCCTATATTTTTATCTGCCCCTTCTTAGACAGGAGAGCACAGGACATCTTGATTGATTCCATCACGATTATATATAAAGGGGAAAAAGTAGTTCACACCACTGTCCTTTAGTGCAGGATTCTGTTACCAAAAGAAGGGGATGGTGCTGGAGATAAATAAAACTGATTCCACCACTAAACTCATAACTCTCATGTGTACTAGTTGTATGTCTTTGGGCGAGTTATATAAATCATAAGCCTTAATTTCTTCATTAGAAAATGAGGAAATAATAACAGCACCTATCATAGGGTTATAGAGTTGTTGGGGAGATCCAGTTAGATGATGCATATAAAGTGGTAAGCATAGTGCTTGACACATAGACCTCCACATATATGGTAGTTCATGCCACCATCATCATCATCATCATCATCATCATCACCACCACCACCACCACCACCACCACCACCGTCACCACCACCACCACCACCACCATCATGATGAGCAACAGCAGTGGCAACCGCATCTTTCACTCATAGTCTCTTATCTCCAACCCCACTGTCCTACCTTAGGTCCTCATCAACCCTCCACGGTTCTTTGAAGAATGTTATCATACCTTCCTCCATATTGTAGTCAGTGATCTTTTAAAATGCATATTTGATCTCACTACCCCCTTGCTTAAAATGCTCCATTGAGTCTTCTCATTGACAGGATAAAATCCAGACTACACTACATATTACTGTTTTCATGGTGTTCCATTATTCTATTTTCTGTGGATTTTGTGATAAGTAGCATTTTATCTTGGTTAACAGGACTACATAATTTCAAATGCTACATAATATCCAGATGCAAATTATATATTTAGATGTTAGTGGATGTAAAGATAATATTAATGGGTGATGCGTACTTCACATCAAGTTACAGGTCTTTGATAGTTGGTACAAGTGTGTTTTTTACTTTTATTTTTTTTTAATCAAGTTTGAAGTTTAAGTAGTTTGGCTTATAGATTTACAGCATGAATTTTGAAGACTGAGGAATAGGGACTGTACAAAGGACGTGTGATACAATGATAATAGCCTAATTGGGAAGGCAGGAAACTAGGTCAAGAAGAGAGAATATCTATGTGTTAGTCTAGATATTCTTGTGAAGGGTTTCCTCAAGAAAGGTTTACCCATGTATGGACTATTGTGTATATTTACATCGAATTGCCACAAACAGCATTACTCTGCATTGATTGAAATTGATGGTAGAGTGCCTGTCTGGAAGCCAGAGATAAGTGGTTGCTATGTGAGTAAAGTTATAAGCTGTCAACACAGCAGAAAGAAGGAATGGGTAGCTGTCACTTTCTCTCTATGTCTACCCAACTCTATGGCCTTCACAGCCCTTGACTTTTTCTTCTTATAAGGCCTATTCCTTTCTCCCATTCTATTCTTTAAGTGCAAATTACTTTAAGCTTAACTTGAATTGTTTCCAACTGTGTTTGTAAACAACTTGTTACCCTTAACAGTGAATAGTCTATGCAGTGCTACTTAATGTCTGGTTGTATTAGTCTGTTTCTGTTGCTTATAACAGAATACTTGGAACTGGGTACTTTGTAAGAAAATGAAATTTATTGCTTACAGTTTTGTAGGTTGGGAAGTCCAAAGTCCAGGGAACACATCTGGTGAATGCCTTGGTAGTGACAGTGACCCAGGAGTTTCACATGGTAGAATGGCAGAGCAGAGTGAGAGAGAGATGCTCACACACTCTCCTTTTAAAGCCCTCAGAACCACATCCATGACAACCATTTTTAATCCATTTATTAGCGCTTTTTCCTCAAATCTAATCACCTCTTCAACGTCCCACCTTTCAATTACCATAATAGGATTTCCCACTTTCTTAATACTGTCACAGTGGGTACTAAACCTCTAATACACAAAACTTGGGGGGCACACTTCAATCTGTATCATTCTGCCCAGGCCTCCCTAGTTTGTCCTTCTCACAGGTAAATACATTCATTTCATCCCCAAAGTCTTAACTTGTTTCATCTCAAAAGTCCAAAGTCCCATCTGTGAAATCAAAAAAACTTATCTACTGCCGGGATACAATGGTGGGATAAACATAGGGCACATACATATTCCCATTCAAAAAGGGAGAAATAGGCCGAAAGAAAGGTGTGCTAGGTCTCAAGTCCGAAACCCAGCAGGTCAGACATTAAATCTCAGAGCTGGCGAATCATATACCTTGACTCCATGTTTGATGTTCTCTGCAAGCTGGTTTGGAAACCAGGCCTCCGAGTCCTCAGGCAGCTCTTCTATGGTTTTTCTGGACTTAGGTGATGCTTTAGCTCTCGCAGGCTGGTGTCATATGCTGGTAGCTCTACAGTTCTGGGGTCTCCATGGCGATCCCGTCCCCACGGCTCCACTAGACATGGCATTGGTGAGGTTTCTCTGCTGCAGCTCTGACCCCACATTTCCTCTTGGCATTGCTCTGGTGAAGACTCTATGTGGTGAATCCGCCTCTGTGACAGATCTCTTGCTGGGCCCACAGGTTTTTAAATACACCTTTGAAATCAGGGTGGAGGCTTCCAAGCATTCTTCGAGCCTGCAGACATAAGACCACGTGTATGTTGCGGAGGCTTCTAGCTTGTATCTTTCAAAACTGCAGGTCCGGCCACACCTGGTGCCAATTTAAGCATGGCTGGAGAAGCCAAAGTAGCCGGGGTGCTGGTGCAGAAAGCAGCTTCTGAAGGTAGTCCTGGGCATGGAGGACACTTGAGGCCTATTCCCTGAGACCATTCTGTCTCCTTAGGTTTCTGGGCCTATAATGGAAGAGGCAGCCTCTGAAATACCTTCAAGGTTTTTTTTCCCTTCTCTTGATAATTCCTTTCTTCTCTACTAATCTCCTTAGCAAATGGAACACTGGGCTGCACCATTGCATATTTCTCCTGAAGATGCTCTCTGCTGCTCTACCACATTGCCAGGCTGTAAATTTTCCAAATCTTTACACTCTGCTTCCCTTTTCATTATATATTCTAGCTTACATCATGCCTTTTCTGCCATAACTCAGCATAGGCTATTGCAAGTAGCCATGTAGCTTCCTTAATGCTTTGCTGCTTAGAAATTTCTTCCACCCAATACCCTGGGTGAGCACATTGAAGTTCCACATCCCATAAAAGTTTTAGGCATGAACAGAAGGCAGCCAGTTCATAGCAAGTGTGATCTTTGCCTCAGTTTCCAAAAAGCTCCTTCTTATTTCTGTCTGAGATCTTCTCAGAATAGCCATTACTGTCCATACTTCTGTCAGCATTCTGCTCACCGCTATTTAACCAGTCTCTAAGAAGTTCCAAACTTTCCCTGGTTTTCTTGTCTTCTAAACTCGCACTAGCAGCTATACTTTTTCTAGCCTGCTCCTTCAAATTCTTCCAGACTCTCCTCAACACCCAGTTCCAAAGCCACTTCAACATTCTCAGGTATTTGTTACAAGCAACACCCCACTTCTCTGGCACCAATTTTCTGTATTAGTCTGTTTCTGTTGCTTGTAACAAAATACTCGGAACTGGGTACTTTGTAAGAAAATGAAAAAACCTTGTCCTGCTGTTGATGTGTTGCTTCACAAGTCACTATTATATTTAAACTTTGTCATTACATTTAAAAAGGTAGTTAATGATTTTACTGTCATACTTAATTGGCTAGGTATGTGTGATTTCTAGACTGCATCTTTTAGGAAGCTTAAATTATTCTGAGTGTATTATATATGTGGTTATTTTCTTAGACTAGTAATGTATCCAGTACTAAGCTACAGACATCTCCAGAGTTTACTAGGGGATGACAAATGCAAAGGGCTTAGTTTTTCAGAATTAGTTTATATAAAATGCCATGAATTAGGCTATGTGAATTCTGCAAGTTCCTTTTATCCCAGTTTCATTAGAATGTTATTAGAGACACTCATAAATTCAAATGGTCCAAATATACTTTGCTGTGAATTTTTGAAATTTTCTGGGTAGATGTTATATCTAATATAATTGTGTATTAGTAATTTGAAGATTACCTCTGCTGTAGGGACTGTATGTTAAATCTACAGCATTTTAACTTAGTTTGTTTTATTTCATGGCATGTGATATATAATTCATTTTCTTGGGTACTTAGATCTGTAGAAGATGGTTGTAATTTTTCTCAGAATGCTAGAACACACTAGCCTCTTTTTCATTTTTGCCATTATTCTAGTTTTCTTCTCCTCAATTAATTGTCCATTCATTTAAACATTTATTAACAATAAAATAAAATAATAGATGCCATTTATGGAGCATATGTTATGTGCCAGGGACTGCTGGGTGCTTTGCATTCTATTCATTTAATCATCTGCAAATGTAAAATATATGTTGTTATTTCCATTTGACAGATAAGAAGAAAACATCTTATCCATAAGAACTAAAGAAAAGAGATTTAGACCAATGTCTATCTTTTCCCTAGCTCAGAACTCTTTCTACTATGTTGCATTTCTAAGCACCTATAAATTTTGGGAGGAAAGAACAATCATGAGTTCAGTTTTAAGATATGTTAAGTTTCAAAAACCAAGGAGTGGTATCAAGCAGGCAGTTGAATTTAGAGATCAAGTAGAGGTAGAGGAGCCAGCAAAGGAGACCAAGAAAGCACCTGCCAAAGAGGTAGGAGGAGTGTGAAGAGAACGCTGAGCAGTAGGGATGGAAAGTGCTCAGTGGGTTTATATAACATTGATAGCATGCTGGTGAATGCTTAACAGCTGGTTCTGGGAGTAGAAGTGGCGGGAGGGAGGATGCCCAGATTTTTAGCTTTTTAAGCTGATTTCTGTGGTGTAAATACCCCCACTATGGCTGATTTCTGGCTGACTACAGCTTAAAAGTCAGCTTGCACATTTTCTGAAAATTTAATAATACATGCTTGTAAAATGTTCAAGCTGGGTCCAGCACAACACTGATTAGAGACTTTGACAAAGGTAGTGTCAGTGAAGTGGTGAGGTTAGAAGAAAAGCTGGAGGATATCCAATAGATGAAATGCTATATAAACATTAAAATGATTATTTTGAGGAGAGTGGTATAAATGAACATACTTAATGTAGCGTGTAAATTTTATGCTATGGGTTTGGGGTGATGGGTTATTTCTCTTCTTTCCTACTCCAAAATATTTTTAAAAGCTTTTACTTTATTTTTATAACAAATGGAAAACATAATCATTTAATAAGTCCTTTTGTTTATGTGTACCTTCTAGGAATGAGAAATAGTCTTTGGTTTATGCTTTGTAATCTAAGTCAGAATTTATACAGAATAAATTTATAGAGAAAATAATATTTTATAGAGAAACACTGTATTTAAATTTTGAGCTGACAAATTTTTATAGCCAAAGAGTTTTGTGATCATTACAGAATATCTTCAGTGTCTTAAGATATTTTCCACAAAAAGGACTGATTTGTATAATTGAGAAAATTAGGTGAGAATTTTGAGGTGAAAAAAAATTATGTATAACAGGCATAGGAATATTAGAAAGTGTTATGCTTCTGCTATAATGTGAATTCATGTACTAATCAGTTATACCATTTTTTCATAGCAAATATATTTAATGTGTTTTGCTGCGCTTTACCTATTGAAGGATTATTCAGCTGTTATTTTGGCTATTCTCCTTGAATCAGCTTTTACATCAGTGGGTAACCTTTGTATCGTAGTACTATGACTTTTTAAGAATAGTATTCTAGCCCATAGGTGGACATTCCTTTGGCTTTTCTTTTTAGCAGTGCTCTTTATTTTCATTTTCATGCCCCTTAAAGTGGCTTGAAATTTCACTAGCATGTTTTGGCTTCAAAATTGTAAGAGTTTTCATTTTTGTTTTGCTAAATTTTAATGCGAAATTTATAAGAACATGTGTTGCACAGATAATATTGAATCTAAAGTTATCATATTCATAATCCTGGAAAATGTTAATCAACTTGGAAGAAAAGATCAAATAAATTAAATTTAGTTTTTTGCACTTGATGGACTGATGCCTCCTATATGACAGTTTTAGTTTTTCTCACACATGATCATTCCTTCAGTTTTTACAAGTTTGATAACAAATGACAATGCTATATATTTTGTTACTAATTTTCCAGTATATTTTCTTCAATAAACATTAATATTTGAATTCAAGGAAAAATAACATAAAAATAACATATAGTTTTTAAATGGTTTTTGACCCGCAAGTCTAGTGCCTCATCTGCAAATGCCCCATTTATCAACAAGGGAACCTTACCTGACTTAACCAAGTCCACCACGGTGCAGTTGAGCAGAAGGCATTAATGATAGTGAGTAGTGTGGGAATGATAGTAAGACTGCAGTGTTATCTTTGGTTAAACAATTCTTGTGTTATTTTATGTCCAAGATGTTTTAGAAAGATGAAAATGATCCAACTTGAGAAGAGTTTTACAAGAAACAGAGAAGTGTGACTGGCAGTGCTTACTTATATATTAGGGTAGGTTGGAAGGAAAGAAATAAGGAGTGGTCCTTTATATTTTAGGATTTTAGAGCATTCAGGATTAAGAGCTGTAATAACTCAGGTAAGATGTAGCTGCTACAAAGAACATGATAGGCTCCACAAAGCAGTGTCACCATGCCCAATTTCCTCATCTCCTGCTTTAAATCTCCCTGATAGGAGAAAAAAATCATTATACCTATAGAGAGGTGACACAGATAATATTTTTCTCTTGAAGTGGTTAGGAAAACACAGAGAATAAGGATTATAAGAGATTTTACCTCCATGGCGGTATGAGTGACAATAATTACAAGTAAGCTTTATTTTTAAAATTGTTTTTCTTTAGAAAAGCCATGTATATTCATGTTGGGAGTTACTGGAGAGTAGTGGTCACTTACTTATACCACAATATTAATTTGAGACTTACTAAGTGCCAGGCACTGTGTAAGAGGAGATGTATTAGTAAACAAAACATAGGTTAGGATCTTAAAGTCTAGGAAGGGAGTCTGTTCCATGCTGCTGCCGTGCAGGTTACTGTGGCATATAGGAAGGGTGTCTGACTCGGTGTCGATGGGATTCAGGGAAGAAGGACCTCCCAGAAAAAGTGAAATCTAAGCTGAAACCTGAGGAGGAGGCAAAGGGAAGATGCCTGGGACGTGTTCAGGTTCTATTCAGGCATGGATGTATGTGTGATCATAATAAATTGAAAATGCTCAGAACAAGACATCACTTTCACCAGAAAACAAAACTCTGTTTTAGGGTGACTGTTAGTAACTGATGAAGAAAAGGCAAAACTGTGGCTAGAAAAGCCCTCTGAAGAGGACATACAGAATGTTTGTAGAGGTGGAAGAGAAATTAAAATTTATCCAGTTGAACTAGCATGTTTTAGGTATGAAATTTGTAATGTAACCATATTCCTGCAATTTGTTTGTAGGGAAGGACAAGGAGGAGAATCAGCTAAGTTACTCAAACAGATGTATTCTCATTTAATGGATTAATTTGCCCAAGCAGTGCTTTTATGGGTAATCCTATATTTTTATGGTAATCCTAACCTGAGTACCTTGAGGAAATACTGAAAAAACTCATGGTTATTAAATGATTTAACACTAGTAGCATAATGGTAACTTTGTTGAGAAGGTATAGCAGGGAGGTTAAAAGTTGGATCTGGAATCTGTTGCATGGATAGTCCCAGCTCCACCCTGGCAACTTCCCTTGGTCAAGCCTCTTCAGCTTCCTTATCTATAAAATCAGGATATTATTATAACTGTACCCTGAGCTATGCTCATTTGGTTTTTTAACTGTATGAGGCATTTTACTGAACTAGACTTTTGGGCAGTGGCGATGGTATTTGTAAGGACTTTGCATGCATTTTGAGTATGCTTGAACAGGGGCATCTTTGCAGTTGTGTTGTTGGTGTGTGTTACACTGTTTCTCAGAGTTCTCATGATTTTTTCATTTATAGCAGCAATCATCTTTTGCTTTAAATTGACTTTTTTCTTTAAAGGGGGTTTGAGACAATAAAAAATTCTATGAACACTGAGTATCATAAATATGTTTACTTTGAGCATAGTCTTCAGTTAAGTGTGTGTCATAGCTATGAAAGATGAAGATCAAAAAACATATCTTTGAGTATATCTTTGAGTAATTAATGAAAGCAAACTGCCATCTCAGATTAAAACTAATTTTAATTTTAAAAAAACCCCCCAAAACTAATGTTAATTCTTGTGACCATTTTTCCTGGGATTTAGTGTTCTTATCTAGCATAATGGGATCAATTTGGGAATATTGGAATACATATCTTTCCCTTTTAAATTAATAATTAATGGTGATTATATTAATACTTAAAATTTACCTTCGTAAAGCAGGTTTGTAGCTTAGGACCTTTGTGAGTGTTGTTCCCTCTTGGATTACTCTTCCCTACTTTCATTGCATTTCTTCTCATTGTTTAGGCTCAACTGAAACACCACTTCTTCAGAGAAGTTTTCCCCTTATATTGGTGTACCCCACTCCTCCCAGTTTTATTACATCTATTTATTTTTCATAGATTTCCTCACAGTTTTAAGCCACAATATTCTGTTTACTTATTTGTTGTCTGCCTCTTCCTGTTATGATTAGAGGGATGTGGGTCTTACCTGCCACTTCATTTATAGTGACTAGGACAGTACTGATGCCATCTGTAGTCAGTGCTCAGTAACTATAATGAGTAACTATATGAAGGAAAGAGGTAAGTAGCATTATCCCAGTTTTGCAAGGTCACACAACTACTCAGTGATAGGACTGGGATTTAATTCCAATGGTCATTCTAATTCCAAAGACTCTATATGGACCCATAAAAAAGGAATTTTACATATGTTTTCAATCGAACCTTTACCATAATCCTGTAGTAAGTATCATTATCCACACTTTACAAGTGAGGAAACTGGCTTCTTTGTGATTTTGTCAAAAATGGATTACTTAGAATCAGGAAAAAAAACGATTTATTTGGTCTCAAGCTCAGTGTTGTCTAGAGCAAATCAGAGATGGCTTTTTATAAGCTTACTTTTTGTGTGTTGTACAGTCTTTTTTCTGTAATCATTTGAACTCAATCTAAATCTACTCCAGTGTGCTTTGATGCAAACCTCTTACAGAAGGCAAAATAGAAGAGTACGTATTCTATTTGTGTTGCACCCTTAGCTAAACTCAGGTGATAGAGTTAAACAGGAAGTAATTTTGAACGTGGAGGCTCATTTCATTCCCAATGTTTTCAGTATTTCTATCTTTCAGCAAATATTTACTGAGTGTCATTTGTTTGCTTGATTCTCTAATTGCTAAGTACTGGAATAAAAATAAAATTTGATGTTTTCCTGTTAATATACCTCTCCAGTATAGCTTCATTGACTCAAAGTTCCCCTTAATCCTAATTTATAGATTAGGAAATCTTTCATTTTTTTTTTCCTTTTAGAATCAAATCCCACATCTACAAAGCTTAGTTGAACCTTTATTCTGTATAGTCCATCTATAGTCTGGGACACTTAGTTACTGTCATGATGACCTAATTTAGTTATATCTCCTGACCATCAGAGATATTGGTGGTTCAACTGGAATAATTTAAGAAAATAAGTTCCTAAACACAGATCTGAAAAGCTTACTCCCCAAACATCTATTCAAACCTAGCTGACAGCAAATAAAATAGCTTTCTATTTGATTTGTTTTGGGAACTGAAAAACTTCTTCAATTTAGTATACAAGGGACCTTGTCTGTTAAATAAGCCTCATGACATCTATATCATAAAATTACTGTGGGGACTATTGATAATGTGCATAAGGTGCTAGTGTGGGGTACCTAATACATAGCAGATAATCAAAAAGAGGCAAGTGCTGGTTTTATTTTCTAATGATTTCTGGAGCAAATACCAATACATGCTTTCTGCTGCAAATGCTCATTTCTGTCCTGCTTATGGTTTCTTCTGTTCTTGCTTCCCTGAATCTTTACTCTTGGGCAGTAAACAATGCCAGTAGAAACTAAAGGTGACCATTTTTCTTCTCTCTAAAGAAAAATTTAGTATTGACTACAATTGTTAAAATAAGACATTCGTGTTATGTTTATAAGGCATATAAATATTCTTGGGAAAAGTGATTTTTTAAAAGATTTCTCTTTAAATGGTTTTGGCTAGTGTTTGAAATCTTGCATATTTGAAAAATCTATTCTTTGTCACAATTAATGGGTGGTTTCACTGGATACAGAATTTTACTTAGAAAATAATTTTTCCTTACTCTTAAAGGTATTTAAAGCCTATTAGATTGACTTCTAAATTCTAGTGGGTTTCTTAAGAAGATTTTCTTGCCTTCTTGAGACTTGATGTTAGTCTGTGACCTGTTTTGTCACTCAAGAACCTTTAAAGATCTATTTTTATTCCTGTAGTTTTAAACAATTTACCTGATACCTTTTTGTCTCCGGTGGGTATTCGGAAACATATGGAGACAGTTTTGGTAGTCTCAGTGACTGGAGATGCTGGGGGAGGGTGCTTTTGGCATTTAGTGTCTGCAGTCCAGTGAGGTTAATTTTCTTTCAATGCAAGTAACAGTCTCACCCAAAATGTCAATAGTGCCCCTCTTTGGAAATATTGTGACCGTAGGGAAATATAAGAGTAATTATGACCTGTATGCTGATTATCATGTATGACAAGAGAAACAAGATGTGTACACAAAAGACCAATCAATATGTTTTGGGGGTGTTATAGACATGCTGTGTGAAACAATGGGGGAAAATGTGTAAATGACATGGCACAAAAAAATGGAATAAAAATCACTGTGTGAAATATAGTCATTAAAAATTATCTGCTGTGAATATATACCATGTTACTTCTTTTGGTTTCAAGTAGGACATTATTTACACTATATGTTTAGTAACATTTTTGACACTTTTTTCTGTATTTCCAAGTAGTACCTGTCTTTCCTAATTACTTTGCTAGATCAGGAAAATTATTAACTCTTCTCTGTATTAGTATATCTGTTTGTAATACAAAAAGTTGAATGACTATAATAGCTATACACTTCTAAATTAGAGTGGGATTCCAAGAGGAGTGGAACAAGAGTTGTATTTGCACAGTTTCATAGCAGTTTCTGAGTTAGCAATTTGCAGTTCTGTTTCATTAATATTTTGGGAAATGAATTACCAAAATAACACATATAGATATCTCTATTATAAGAATGCAAGCATTCAGTGACACAGACAAATGACTTTTGATTATCCTCTGTTTTTTCATGGTTCATATCATTGCTTTACTTCACTAATGTGGCTAAAACTAGATTAGAAATACAAGACTCTAAGGAAGCAGAGAGGGATTAAGATAATGAAGTAGGAAGATGTTAAAATAGTAGTCTGGTAATTTTGTATTGATGTAATAGCTTTTAGGAATTTTAAGATAATTATACATTCAGAGTCTTCATTTTATTGTGTATATGATATACTTTTATCTTTCAGAACCTAAGTCACAGCTGCAGCAGTTTCATCAAGGACAACAGAGATTGTCAAATACTGAACAAAATGGAGTAAAAGATAATCATCAACCAAGACATCTTCCCCGAAATGATACCAGGCAACCAAGAAATGAAAAACCTCCTCGTTTTCAGAGAGACACCCAAAATTCAAAGTCAGTTTTAGAAGGCAGTGGATTACCTAGAAATACAGTTTCTGAGAGACCAAGTACTTCTTCAGGATCTGAAGTATGGGCTGAAGAAAGAATCAAGTGTGATAGACCATATTCTAGATATGACAGAACTAAAGATACTTCATATCCTTTAAGTTCTCAGCACAGTGATGGTACTTTTAAAAAAAGAGATAACTCTATGCAAAGCAGATCAGGAAGAGGTCCATTGTATACAGAGGCAAAAGAAAATCCACTTTCTCAAGAATCATTAGATTATAATAATCAAAAACGTGGGAAAAGAGAAAACCAAACAGCTAATCCTGACCATTTTTATGACAGGAAATCACGAACAATAAATAATGAAGCTTTCAGTGGTGTAAAAATTGAAAAATATTTTAATGTAAATACCGATTACCAGAATCCTGTCCGAAGTAATAGCTTCACTGGTGTTCCAAATGGAGAGACAGAAATGCAAATGAAAGGAAGACGAGTAGGACCTATTAAGCCAGCAGGACACATTACAGCCGTGCCCTATGATGATAAAGTATTTTACAATAGTGGGCCCAAAAGAAGATCTGGACCAATTAAACCAGAAAAAGTACCAGAAGCATCTATTCCTATGGAGTATGCAAAAATGTGGAAACCTGGAGATGAATGTTTTGCACTTTATTGGGAAGACAACAAGGTATGGATTCTATAAAGATGTTATATATTAATATTACTAAATGTCACATTGTAGTGAGACTTCTAGAAAGTCATCATTTTGGACTGTGAGTTTTGTTCCACAATTGTACCTGTTTTAAAGTTTTTTTAAACAGATTGATAGATATATAATTTATGCGAGAGAAGAAAAATAAAACATTTAATTTTTTTTATGGATGCTTAGAATCTATCCCATAAGATTTGGTTAGGTTAGGTTTATTTAGTTTTAGCTTACGTATCAGAAAAATATTGTAAAAGTGATTAAGTGAAGATGAACTTTATTTCACTTATCATTAGCCAAATTATAAGTATTTACTTTTCTTTATAGTAAAATTGTACTGATTCACAAGGAAGAAAGTCAGTTGAGTGGCACAAAATCAAATTCTGCAGATTTTCATTTAAAGAAAATATACACATTTAGCCTACTTTTTTAAAGAATTAAGAGCATATAAGTTAATTACTTACCTTATAATTAATAAATAATTATTAAATCGGTACTTTAAACGCTCTTTAGTTCTACATTATATGCTTACTAAAAGGGAAAAAGAGAAATCATGGGGGAAAGGAAAAGACCAGAAGATGTGGACCAAGTAAGAGCCTGGCTGAGAGGTAGACAACCAGTACAGTGAGAATAGTAAGGTGAAGAGGACAGAGGGACCCTCAGAGAGAAGGGCTTTTGTACATGTTTTGCCTTCTGTCCAACATGCTCTTCTACCACTTTAAGGGCTTGGCTCAAATATCACCTCCAAGAAGAAGCCTTTTTTGACCTGCCCTCTCCTCTCTTCTACATTATTCTGTTTCTCTATTAGTGCCTTGTTCACTTTTTAAAACTTACCACAATTTGTAAATATTTTTGGTTTTGGTTTCTGGATTGGGATCTTTTCCCCCTACCATGATATCAACTTCCTTGAATGCAGGACCATGTCTGTCTGGTTTTCGTCTGTAGTCCTGCTTACTCCCACAGTGTAGGGATTTTATAATTATTTGTTGACTCTGTTAATTAGTTAATTCTGGAGGGGGCATTTTCATGGGAAAATAGAGTGGTGAGGGGACTGGAGATATTAGCAAAATAATAAAAATAGATGTAAGGGAGTTACAGAGTGAAAGATCGGGTGAATGTGAGGATCAAGTCAAGGAAAAAATATTTGAAATAAATATTTCATAGAGTAGTTATAGTTGATAAGGTAAGGGTGTGCCCATGAGAGAGTATGGCTAAAGGGAGTGGCAGAAATAAAGGTAACTGAAGATTTCAAGAAACTGAGATTCAGACTAGAGAATTTGGGTGGATCTTTTATAAAGATGCAATAAGACTTGGGATCAGGAACCAGGCCCCGTTGTTTTCAGTGAATGCTGAGGTATAAGCAGGGTGTTAGGCATTACCTGATAATAACAGCAAGGAGTGTACAGGGTGGTATATCAGATGACATAGGCCTTTAAGGTTTTTGTATGAATGTGGGATATTTGCTTAAGAGCAGGATCCATAGCTGTCAAGTCTTTATTCAAGACCAGAAGGAGGGGAGGAGACAGCACTACTTGTATGCCTTGCCTGGAATACCAACAGACTTTTAATTAAATCTCATTGGTTGGAACTATTTCACATGGCCACTCTCTGGCTATTGGGGAGGCTGAGGCTTGGAAAGCAGATGCAGGTGTTCTTCAGTATCCAGGCTCTTACTCTCTCAACTCAGACCAGTTACTTTCCAAAATTCAGAAACTATTATTTGATTTGGGTAGTGGGGGATTCCTTATATTTAGCTGTTTCTCCTTCTTGATACAGACAAGAAAAAGTGAAATAGTTGGAAATTAGTGTTTATTGAGCTAACAGTGTCTACCTTAGAGGGAATGGCCTCTGGTTGTATGTTTCTGTGAGAGGTTGCATTAAGGATGGAAAAGTATTTTCTGTATTGGACAGTGTGGGGTTGTTGGTGACTTTGACAAGAGCAGGAGAAATAAGACATTGGAGTTCAAGCTCAGTAATGTTTGAGAGGCTTGGTAAATGACCTTTCCATTGAAATCCCACAAAGATCATGCCCTAAGTAGTAAAGGCAAAGCTAAAACAGACAGCCCTTTACAAAGCTAAAACCAACCTCTACAGGATCAAGGATATCTGCTTTTACTCTGTCTGCCTGCCCAAAGAAAATATAATACTTTTTTTTGAGAAAAATAACATTTTCTAGAATCTCTTCAATATTTCATCTGCAGTGTCTGGCATCTTATAAAAATTATGAGCCATGGTTAAAAAGAGAGAGAGAGAGGGAGGGAGAGAATGAGTGAATATGAATAAATATGAATGCTTGGCCAGAAACAAATGAAGCAACAGAGAACAGATCTGCAGGTATTCAAATAATTGGACTTAGCAGACAAGTTCGTTCGACAAATATTAATTGAGTATTCAATCAACCATAATTGAGTAGCCAAGTGCCAGGTGGTTGGGATATATCAGATAGTTCTAGCTGTGCTATTACCCAGATGCTTCCAAATTCCTGATAAGATTATTAATAAAGCTTTAATCTTAATTTTAATTGTCTCTAAAAACCAGTAATGCTGAATTCATCTATTGCCTCTGTTGAATATATTAAAAATAATGTTGTATAGCATCTAAAAGACAGTACCTAACAATTCCCAAAATGTTTCAGCTGTTAGATATTTTTAGAGTAATTGGGTGATCTTCTAAGGTGACTACTTTGACTTAAATTGGATGTATACTTCCAGTTTAGTGTGAGGGACTGGCTTCTAAATAGATTACACCATTAAGCTTTGGGAATAAGGTAAACAATATTTACCTTGTGAAAGACATGGAATTAGTTATCTTCTGAAGCCACCTAACTTAAGAGGTAACATTTAAATGTTTCGTCAAGAATAGGCAACTTCCCAGTTTTCTTGTGCGAGACCAGGGTAAAGATTTAAGAAAAGGAATTAGTCCTCTTAATTTTATTGTAATGTTGTTTTGGAGATAATTAATCAAATAGTATAATCTGTTGTTTAAAAAATTCCTCATAATACTTGCCTTCTGTCTAGCTTTATTTCCATAGAAGGATTTAAGAATTTGGGGGCAGTTCTCCTTTTTCCTCTAGAGTGCCAAAACTAGTTCAGCTCTTTTTCCCCTCTCAACTGGAATATTGTAACAACCTCCAAATTGTTTTCCTTGCCTTAAACCTGATTTCTCTGAAATTTGTCTTCAATACTGCTGTGACTATGATCCTAATCTTAGATCATGTCATTCCTCCTAGTTAAAATCTTTTGCCTGTAGAATAAATACAGACTCTAGCATGCTTCTGCTCTCCATCATCTGTCCCTTATTTACTTATCCAGTCTAATTTCCTGTTGGATGAACCTTCTTCTCATATTATACCATAATTAATTTCAAACAGCTTTTAGTTTTCTACACTCATCTTCATGTTTTATATCTGTGTAACTTCCCTGGAACACCTTTCTCAGCTCTTTACTTGGCTAGCCCCTCTTTATCCTTGAATCCATTGTCATCCACTCCAGGAAGCTCTTCCTGAGCTCCTCAGCTTAATTGCCATATCACTACAGCTTTATTACATTTACATTCCACATTACCTAGAAGTTATTTTTTAAATGGATTGTCTTTATTAAACAGTGAGGGTTTTTTTTGTTTGTGTTTTTTAAAAAGGAATTATATACATGTCTTTATTTGGGGGCAGGGTTTCTTAAGTGTGGCTTTAAAAAAATTCACTGTCAGACTATATTTTGGAGAGCTGAAGATGTAAGGCAGATAAGTGAGATACTGTTTTCCTTTGGTAATCCCACAGCATCCCAAGGGACAAAGATTAAACTATAAATTCTTACAAGGGCATCACCTTGTTTGTTTTCCTGGCATATAGCATGACTCAGTGTTTGTTGAATTTACCAAAACTGACATAATTTGAGAAGCTTACAGTTGAAGCATATGTCCAGAAATACTCAAAACAATCCACAGAACACAAAAGTATGAGTCTAAGAAGTAAAGGCAGAGAGGAGAGAGAGGAATGTTTACCAAGAATCCTAAGATAAGGAAAATTCCAGCACAGTCTCTCTAAACTTGCTAGCATCCAGACCCGGGAAGGAAACACCTTGGATTCACTTAATTTCTTTGTAATATGAAATACACAAGTTATGAGTTAAGTATACTAGTTAAATATACTAGTTAATATACTAGTTAAAAATCAACTCTTTCCTGGTGTACTGTGGGGTACCCCCTTTTTCAGAAGAATTTGGAGAATACGAATTTTTGCTGCCTTTAGGATTTTCCGATTCTGGTGAATCTATTAAGAGATACTGTTAGAATAGACAGTGTTATAATAGAGCATCCAACTACCCTAGCTTGAGGAAAATATTCCTTAAGAGCAAATTGTTTTCTGTTTCCATTTCTTGTTCAGTAAGCAACATTCAAACCTATAATTTGGGTCCTGAATAGGTTGGCCTATATTAGTGGGCTCTTCCAATTAGATGACCTCCTCCCAGGTAAATTTTAAAATTGCAGTTATTGTGTAAATCAGTTTCTTGTGAGTTTGTTTATATACATCAGTTCTCAGAGCCAAGTGACACTGGGTAAACTGATAAAAATTTCTAGGCTTGGAGTGTCTCAAATCCTATAAATCCTAGATCTAAGTAATGTCCTTACTCCTTACCTGACATCCCTACCTCACTCCAGCCACTTGTAATGACTGAAGCAGTGAGCCTTCTTCTTCTTTGATATTTATTTTTGTGATATATTTGTATTTTTAAAATAAATAACTTCATATTTATATATTCTGATTAGTATATAAGAGTTGTCTTCCCAACAATGTTAGAGGGTTATCCAAAGGTAAGTTTTCTTTCTTAAAAATATTTCACATTGTAACACTTTTAGGATTTACATTTCCATTAAATATTGCCCTTCTTAGAGAATATTGTTTGTTAAATTTAAAATACTTTTTTGCCTTCTCAGTTTTACCGAGCAGAAGTTGAAGCTCTTCATTCTTCGGGTATGACAGCAGTTGTTAAATTCATTGATTATGGAAACTATGAAGAGGTGCTACTAAGCAATATCAAGCCCATTCAAACAGAGGCATGGGTACGTGATCCAAATTCTGTATAAAGACATAAGCTATTTTGAAGAAAATACATAACTAACTAAAAGATCAGTCATAGTCATATAAATTTTGCAGGTGGAAAAATATTTTGAATTTGCTTAAAACTGGCTGTCTCCAAAGTAAAATTTTAATTTAATAATTACACTGAACTACAATAAAAGTGAATGGATTGGAATTACTTTTCTTGTGTAACGCTTTGTTGTATTACGCTTTGGAAATAGGTGCCCTTATTTACATGTTTGCTAAGAATTTTTTATGTGTAAAATGGATTTTTATGCATATTTTTGTTCTTTCCCAATTTGTTACTTTAAATTTGACTAAATTATGTCCAGTATTTATCAAATTTAAATCTCTGTTGGATACATGTATATTGTTTATTATTTTAGTTACATGTAAAATCAGGAAAGACACTTTAAATTATATATGAATTCACACTGAATTTCCTGCATACATTTATATATATGTGTATAGATTAATATAAATATCTCTGTTTAATAATCATTTGATTAGTTTTGTTGCCAAATGTTAGGTCAAAATTGTGTGATAACTGCTATGATGTAATTTAGAACTTATTGGCTTCCTGGAGTCTATTTTATAGAGGACTTATGTGACTGTATATAGAAAGGTTCTCAACTACATTTAGGAGAAAACAGGAGCATAGGACACATTAGAATTAATTTCATAAATTTTTTCTTATTTTTCAATTTGTGAGTAGCTGTTAATAAACTTATCATTAGAAGCCTAATTTGTTGCTGTTTCTCTAAAATGTCAAAATATGCTAGAATATTATATTATCCAAACAGTAGCCTTCATCATTGAAGCATACATTGTTTTTTCATGAGCTGCTTTTGGTTTTGGTCTTTTAAAATTTTTCTGTCATGCCTTCAATGATACCCCTCTAGCCCCCTTAAAAAAAAAAACAAAAAAAAACCCGATAAATAGAACAACAGAAAAACCTAATAGTCGTCATGTTTTGGGCCATAGGTCTTTAATTTTAGAAAAACTATCATTTTCTAGATAATTTATCATTTCATATTTTACAGTGTAACATTGCTAATGGTTCATATGTTTACTTAAGAGGTTCTTTA